TAACATTAATTCTATTCAACTCGGCTGACGCCTCGTTGAATAGAATGTTAATCTTTCAACTCATGAAAATATTCGCACTATTGAACTCATAACCATTCATTTTGTATAATATTAGTTTAGCCAACTGTTTAGTCTGAATTGTCTGACATAAGTCTTGTTCAGACGGAGGCAAGTTACCCTGGGGTAAAGGTCTTGTTAAGAGCTAGTCGGGGGCAAATATGGTGAGGTCAGTGTAAAGGTCAGTGTAAAGTAGTGACCGTCTGAACGATGATTGTGTTCGCTACGCCTACCTTTACCCCGACCTATTTACTCCTGGAAAAATCCAGGAGTAACTCGCTATTATAAACACGACTAGAGGGTAGCGTAAGTTGACCGTGTGGATGCTCTCACTTATACCCGGGAGTATCTGTGACCTTTCACTAGCCATCTATTCACAGAGTTTGGCCAACATGGTTTCACTGGGTCAAAACATGGTGTATATTCTTTTGTTATATTGTGTCCAACTCGAACCGGGTCGGCCAAACTCTGTGTATAGATGGCATAGATGGCTCTGCGTAAGTTACGCTGGTCGGTGGAAGGTCATGTTAACAGTGCAAGTTGGTCCGAGTAAGAGCGTGTGGACAACTAATGGTGTAAGTGAAGTATACACGAGGTATTTACTGCTGCAGGGATTAACTTACGCCGACTAGCAAAACCCCGTCTGAACAAGACTAGTATAGCAACTTATATGTTGCGATTGTTTGTTGTATTGTAGTAGGAGGTAAAATTTAGCAAAGTTACATACCACTATCCCAAGTTAGCTCATTGATGAATGACAGATAATGTCACAGGGGGAGTGAGGTCGGAAGATTTTTAGGGTGGAGCTTAGCAAGTTTGAAACAAATATTTCAAAGAATATAAAAATCTATGATATAGATTCAGCATATGAGATGTATGCAGGATTACACACCAACATAAATAAACATATGTGGATGGCAGGGGCCCTTTAAGATCTATGACTAACTGAAGACAGATACGAGCAGAAAATCTTTCTTTACTCTTCTCAAAACTCTTTTCAAACTGTTCTTAGTTTGCAGGTACAGATTATTATTTGACACTATACCACGATTCCTAATGCCTTGTGTAGAGCCTAGATCTGCCAGTCCCTGGCTGTGTTAGCGGTTAAAGGTACTATGTCCCATTTGCAGGCCAAAAAAATGAAAAAGTTAAATTCCAACTGCATTTGAAAGATAATACTAATTTAGAACTTCCCTAAAAAAGTTGGGGTTTGAAAATGTCTTCAAGTGGGAAAATAACGACTATTAGTTGTCAAATCGACTTAGGGGCTATAGAACCAATAAGTAATAGTCTTGATTTTCAGACAATTGTACCGAATGGTCATACGTCTTATGCTGCGCAAAAATTCAATCAGTTTAATTTTGGACATCACAAGAAGTGGGTTATTGATGTAGACAAATGCTCATATAGCCTTTACAACTCTTTTCATGTATGTTATACCAAAGAAGAAAAAAAGCCAGTCAGTCACTCAATAGTGTCTGACAGTGAAGTCTAGTAAGTAAACGGGTTTCCTTGCATAATTTGAATATAAGGACACTGCTAACGTTTAAATTTCATAGATAGGACATACATGACATATTCATAATTCCGGCAAAGTTCTACAGAATGTGAGGTTGGCTGAAAAAGGGACATAGTATCTTTAAAGTACAGAGGCAATGCAGTGCGGCATCTGCATAGTTTATGAGATAAGGTGAGTGCAGACATTGTTACGCACAGTGACTGACAAGGGTTTGTTCGTGCAACATAGTACGTCTTTTAAAGCCCCACTGTCCTACTTGTAGCTACTTGCTCCCTCTATATAGAAAACTTCCCAAATCGGTGCTCCCCCCCCCCCCCCCCGCTTATTCAGCGCCTGGCTGAGTCGTTGCGATTTTGGGGGACCAAAACAAAAAAATGTCTTCTTACCACCCCCCCCCCCCCCCCTCCCCCCGCTTATTCAGCGGTTGGCTGAGTTGTTGCGAAATATTGGGACCAAATTTCAAAATGTTAAAACCCCCCCTTGAAAAAATCCTGCGTACGCCACTGATGTCGCATATTGCGTTGGTGTGGTGGAGATCAAAATCAAATAGCCAGATTCTGGACTAGTTTAGTTATAACAGTGTACTTTTAGGCAATAGTATTTCGGATTTAGATTTCTGTTGATGTTATTAGATCTCAGTTGCAGTGAAAGTTGATTGATAGTAATTACTCTGGTCGCCCAAGTCGTGAAATACCAGTTAGAATAAACAAAAGATATTTTTACCCTTCGAAGTCCAAGGGAAAGACTGTTGCACTGGAGGTTTCACGAATGCAACGTTGTATCTACCTAAATTGGATAGCGCCATCTCGTCGTCAAATCATGTTATGATTTTAAAAAGCAAGATGAAAACTACCGGATAAATGGAGCATTTAGTCAGTATTAGCTTCATATTTCTATTTAAAAAAATAGCCACTAGCGTAATGTAGTTAGTGTAGCTAGTTTTCATCCGATGCTTTGCATACACTACCATGTGCATCAAGTAGGGTTAGCGTTAGGGTTGTGGCTATTCGTTTAGAAATATGCCTCCACTACTGATAAAGTGATGCCTACCGAATGAAATACCGTCACTGAATGATGCAATATTAGTCAGGAATCTGATCGTTTTAATATTAAATAATCTCAACCACCACAAGCCCGATCTCACCGTACTTGATGCAAGCATTAAGATTGCTTCCCCACCCCAAAAAATGAAGAAAAAAATGAAGAAAAAAAATTAAAAAAAAAAAAAAAAAAAAAAAAGGGCGTCCCGAAAATGACGAGCGGGCGGTCGAGGACAACCAAATGATTTTTTTTTTTTTTTTTTTTTTTTTTTGGGGGGGGGGGCCTCAGCCTATGAAAGTTCTTGAGTGTCAGCATTTCGGCATTATCAGAACTTTCAAGAAACAGTCTTGATCAATAAAACACACACACACACACACACACACGCACTCTCACTATTTTCTCTCTCTTTCTCCTAAAGATAACGTTAGACAACAAATTGTTGTATTGGGATCCACTTCTGTCCTCACGGCTGGGGTCCAGGGCAGAGCCCTGCCGGGGGGTACCAGGGAACGATGGGTTTAATATGCAGGTCATGGCTCCCATAACAACAAATCATTTTCGCTTGAAGTACTTATTTGTTTGGTTTGTTTTATTTCCACTTTTTCATATCAATACAAAGAAACATACAAATAAATAAAATGAATAACATGTAAGATTGACAAAATTTGTTTCTACTTAAAATAAAAGTTTCATACAAAAGGAAAGAGCAGGAGACCACATGTCGTAAGCGTAATGATAGTCAATATCTAGTTTAAAGAAGGTCTTTAGTCCTAAACGCATGAAATCAAGTCCGAAATAAGTGAATCATGCAGGGAAAATCAACCCATAGATTACTGGACAAATGGTCTCATACATAGACGAAATAAATGTATCCGATCCACTTTAGTATATCGCTCTCTTCATACTCAGTCCTCATCACTATCCTCACTCATAAATAACCTTGAACGCAATCGTAAATAAAAACAACCAAGCAAACAAACAAGAAATGTTGTTATGTATGGACAGTAATTAATTTACTCCAGCTATAAGACAAATAAAATAATGTTGGCGAACAGTAGATAGGAAATTTGTTGCAGTAAGTGCGATAAGAAAAAGAATGCAAACACTAACAAACAAAGAAAAGATAATGAAACATATATTCAGTGGTACGTTACAATAATTCACTTTTTCATTAAATATTTCTTTAATGTCAAGAAGCATAATCTATCCCATCACATTTTCTTGATTTCCATGGTAAATATATTTTTTTAAAACTGTGAGCTTAAATTTCACTCTTATCTACAGACCATATGAGGAACGATAGGTATAACTTGTAGGTCATGGCTTCCATAACGAATTGATTAAGCTTGAAGTTCCAAGATTGCCAAGATCATATTCAAGGGCAGTATTTAGTCCTATGCGCATGGTATGTAGTCCCAAAAAAGGTTCATACAGGGAACATCGAACTTATTATGACCCATAGATTAATTGACAAATGCTCTCATACACAAGAGAAATACATGTATCCAATCCACTTTTTACATCCCTGTCTTTATACTTAGTCCTCATGGCTAGCCTCACTCATGTTAAACTTGCACATAATCTCAAATTAAAACAAACAAGCAAACACACAAAAACACCCAAACAAATATTGTGAGATATGGCATGTAATTCATTCACTCCAGCTATAAAAGCATAAAATAAAGTTGGCTTAGTCGAACTGTAGAAAGGATTTATGTAGCAGGAAATGTGATAAGGAAAAAGGAAGGAAACACTAAAAAAAACATAGAAAGAGATGATGAAATATATGTTGAGTGGTATTTTACAGTAATTCGACTTTTCAAGTAACAGATCCTCAAATTCAAGGAGCAAAATTGATCTGATCATATTATGTAGATTTCCACAGCAAATATATTTCAATTTAAAAAACGGCGAGTCTAAATTTCACTCTTATCTCCATACGCTAAGGTAAATGTCAAAACATGACAAAAGTCTAAAACCAATAAAAGTATCCTTCTTAAAATTGACACTCACTCGTGGCGAGAAGGCTGAGAGCTGGTACAGGGATGAGAATTTTGTGTTTTTCTCTTTCTTTTAAATGTGTTACTTTTTGTTTAGTTTGAATAATATTACGGCAAAAATGTCCTCTGAAATGAATTGCTCTGCAATTGCCTTCAAATCTGAAATAAAACGAGCAATAGCTAAAAGTGTTGGAATAAACTGTCAAGCCACATGTGTGTGTTCCATATACTCAATACTGTAATCCCTGAACGTGACTAAAATTGAATATCTTTTCCCCTCATTTTGATGATTCTATAACCTCAGCGTATACAGCGATTCTCAAAAACTTTGTAATAAACCTTTCCTATACACCCCCCCCCCCCACAAAAAAAAAAAAACGGTTGGTTAATATAGCGGGATCTGTGAAGGAGCCTTTAAACCGTTAAACAATATGACGGATTTTGTATACTAAACTAGAAAGAAAACTAAATGTAAAATTCTCCCAAACTGTCAATTTGTCTCTTGCAATAAAACAAAAACACAAAAGACTGACTAATGGACTGTGGAAAATAGAATTGGTCATGCATGTCACACCCTCTGAACGTTATAATAGCCCCACTTAGTCAAGCTATGATACTAGCACTACTAGTTTCCAAGGTTTTCAAAAAAGAATTCAAAGAATTCAAATTGTAGGCTTAACCATACAGATATATCAAGGAAGCTTCGAATTCAGGGTACAGCCGAATTAGGAATTCTAATTTGGCACCACCTTACAAATGAAAGGCGCGTCCCTTTCACAGACATTGTCGTTCCAACCCTGGAGGATATCATCTCCTGCGTTCCTACGCCACAAATGGACGCATCCCTCGTTGTTACCGGCGTTGGACGGCTCACCAGTCAACCATTGCTCGAAGTCTAGACCGGATCCATCAGTCCAAATGAAAGGTGCGGTTGAGCCTGATGTTGTCTGGTAGGCACCGATCCAAGCCCCATAGAATGTCGGCCCAGCCTGTCCAAGAAACAGCAAAGAAATCCGTAAAACAAAATCAGCCAAATCAGATCAGAAGAAAAGTGAATTCATCATTGTTTACTTAGATAGTGCTCATATCAGTGACGCCGTGATACCCAATATAGATCTTGCATTATGGCTCACGGCATGGGCACACAGAAGATTTTATTAGGTTGGGGACCTTGGGGGGGGGGGGGGAGGGGAATTCAATGAATTATTTAAAATTTATTGCATTTTTTAATTATGTTTTATTTGTGAGAACTTCTCCCTACCCTAGCCCCCGCTGCGTTCAGTCATGGTTCAGTGGCAAAGCAATGGCCTCGCAACTGTGAGGCCCCAGGATTAAAAACGTGTCGATGTGCTATATTAGTGCCCTTTTGTGGGGCATTAATCCTCATCACTGTCATTTATGACTTAAGGGCGTAGGTTCCTAGTTGTAGCATAGTAGCATACACATGCTTTAGCAGTCACGCAAAACAAACACTGGCAAATTATTATTCAATAAAATCTGAGAATGTATACTATTATCTAGATCTATTAGGAATAAATCATTATCAAAATAATTCCATAAATTGAGGTTAAAAAAATATTCCAACTATATGAGCGACAGTGTACGTAACTTTAGCCAAGGAAGGGGAGGGGTGGGGGAGCAGGAGAGTCAGAGAAACTATATTGCTCCGATTGTCTCATTTTCGCTCGCTCGATCACTGCAGCACAAACATAGCTCGTTCGACGTCACTACCAAACTAGCCAATCAGCTGTCAATGACGTCATATTGAATGCGGCGGCAAATATATTTTGTGAAATTATCGAGAAATTGACTATTTCTAATTGCAAACTAGTTTTATTTTTGGATGGAAAAGCAGCCATTGTTATCTTGACATTCATTGAAGTAATCAGAATAGGGTAAGTTACTTCTCAGATGATTCGAATTCAAGAGGTCCATTTTGTAGATAATGTTTTAATTTCTTAGAATGTTCCACTGTGTTGCAGGGTACCGGGTGTATGCCATTGGGTGTGATGTGTTCGCGCGCTATGAGTACAGGCCTCCGAGCAGTCGGGTGTATTCTCGTACTGATGTAAGTGCAAAGCTGGAATGGCTACCACGCCCACTTCCCTCTCTATGCCTTTCTGAACATTCCTTTCCTTCTCAATACAATAACTTTCACCTGCCTAAGTTATTCAAACCATACCGCCTCGCCACTTCCATTACGTAATCATTAAAAGGATCCGCATATACAACATTTTCCTGCTATACGTTGTACTGCAGGAAAATACAAATCTCCCTGGTATACCTTAAGGCCCGGTCACACAGAGAGGACGCATGGGGAACGCACGGCCAGCGCATGGGAAATTTGCAATTTTGGCCAGTGCGTTGTCGTGCGCCCAACTTTTGTCGAAGCCACAGCGAGCTGTAACCAAATGCATAGCGTGTTGCTAGCGCGCTGAGCGCATACAGGGCGCATACAGTGCGCATACAGACCGTACACAGAGCGCACATGATAACAACTTACACGAATGCACAGCGTGTTGCTAGCGCGCTGGACGAATGGTCCACGCATACACCGCGTTCTTCAACGCACGGCCCGCGCATTGGAAATCGGAAAAGGCCGTGTGCCTAACTTTTGTCATGATTTTGGAAAAGCTAGCGAGCTGACAAAAAAGTGCACAGCGTGTAGCTAGCGCGCTGTGCGTATACAGGGCGTGTGCTCCGCGTATGTCTGGCGCTGGTCTAGCGCGCTCCACGCATGTCTGGCGTGCCTTTGGCGTGTACATTAGTGCGTCGAGCTCCGCGCACACTTTTGAACATGCTCAAAAAAAACCCAACGCACACAGCGAATAACGACGAATGCATAGCGCTGGTCCAGCGTTGGTCCAGCGCGCTCGACGAACAAGTAACGAATGATGGCGCACGCCTAGCGAACGACAACGCACTGGCCCAAATTGCAAATTTCCAATGCGCTGGCCGTGCGTTCCCCATGCGTCCCCTCTGTGTGACCGGGCCTTTACAGTCCAAACGATGAATATGTGCCTTTAACGAAGCAGGCGACAATCGGCGTAGCAGACGACACTTGATAGTAATTTTGTATGTGAGATTGCTTTGCTAAATATAAATTACTTTGTTAATAAATATCAACTAAAATTTTCTTTTACATTTCTTTAAACCATCATTGATATTTAATAATTCATGAGTGAGTAAAAGAAACATACCAAACTATATAATTATATGAAATACTTGGTGGCAATTAGGGGAGTTTGACGTGATGACCGATTGCACCCCTCTGTTAATAACCGAATAGTCCATGGTGTGTCATGAATATTCATGTTTTTGCTTACCTCGGCTAAATGTTTGCTTTTACTAAATTGAAAAATTACGGTTGGGGGTTGGATGAAATGGACATAATGAAATAGGCAGAAGTGATCTATGATAATTCATGCTTTTTATGTTTCGTGTGCTCGACCTATAATCTTCAAATCGCTTTGCAAACTGAGTCCAAAGTTTCACATGTGTATTATAGGCAATGACGAGCTTGCAACCTATTTTGAAAAATTACGGTGGGTGATCTTTCAAAAGTCAATGAGACATGAGGGCTCCAATGAAAGAGCTATTGATAACGTACGTCGGGGTGGATGTGCTTTTCGTTTATTAATTGGACCAATATAACTAAAGTTATGATTGTTTTGAAATGAGGTCGCTATATACACCTATGCGGATCTGAAATTGGGAATTTTTTCAGTGGATTGTGACGTATGACCGATAACTCTCTCATTTGTCCTGTACTAAAACATCACTAATTTATGTTGCCCTCACCCTTGGGGCACTTCTCACATATGTTATGGAGAGTGCATTATCTACAGGTCCTATACAAAGAAAATACCATGCCAATTGACATTTTAGTCCAAAAAAGAAATTTAAACAAACGATAAAGCTGTCCGCCACTAAATCGCGAAGACGTAGCGGATTCAACCAACTTGAAGAACGCATACCAAGACTGTTGCTCTCAAAAATTCATAATTTTCGTAATTTCTGTCCGATTTTATGCTTTTCTGATTTTGCTGCTTCCTTGTATAGTAGTTTGCTATTTTGGCAGGATTTCCCTTTAATTAACAGTCTTAGCTAAGGCACACATATTTACCGCCTCTGATGTGATGCTGGCAGAAGAGCGGAAAAGGTCGTAAGCGAAGGCGTTTTCCTGTTCCGTGTGAATGGATACTAAATCAGCCCGTCCGTTGAGGGAGTAGTGATCCCTGCAGCGACCCCGAGCCGCTTCCCAAGTGACCCGCTCCCCGAAGTAACGGTAGCAGTTCCCGTTGAATAAATGCCAGAACTGGGGGCATGGATGACACGCATTGATTTCTAAGCCGTAAACTGCCACGGCTAGAACGGCCATTGATACGAGTAGAAGCTTCATGCTGACTACTGGAGTGTCAAAGAAGAACAATGGGAAACTATTTCAAAATAACGACTTCAATTTACAACCAAGAGTTAGCAATCATATATGTACGATCAATCTAGAGAACCTTTATATTTAACTTAAAGGACACTACCCCCTCATCGCCATGAATTTTGTACCCAGACTTCAATGGACCTAGCAATGCAAAAGCCAATCATTTTATGTATGGAGACGCATACTGCAAAGGAGTAAGAGCGCTGTTTTATTGTCGAAAATGTTTAATTCTAAATCTTTATAAAGAAATGCTTCTTTTCTTATGTTCGTAAGAGATTTGAGGAGTTCTTCCCCGGCAAGAAAATTCCCAGACAGTTCTAGACAAGTTAAGATTCTGTGCAAGAAAATAGAATGCCACAATAGTGTAACCCAGGTCATGACCAATGATGATCAAACGTAGAGATCTTGTTCAGATTAGCTTGTCATGAATTTGTATATTTTCTTAAAATGTTAGTGCTGTGAAATTGTCTGAGCTTGATTTGTTAAAACCCTCTACGATCTTGTTATTAAATGTAATGATACTCTCGATTACATGTACCTTTACAGGGGCGGATCCAGGAATTTCTTCCCGGGGGGGGGGGGGGGGCACACGGGGGATAAGAGGGCATATATATATATATATATATATTTTTGTTGTTGTTGGTCCCCCCCCCCCCCAAAACCGCAACGACTCAGCCAGCCGCTGAATAAAGCGCGGGGGGGGGGGGGGGGGGGGGGGGGGGGGGGGTTAGAGCACATATTTAAAAAAAAAAATTTTGCTCCCGAATTTTTAAAAATCGTGCCGGCCGCAAATTCGCTCAGTTGAGGGGGGGAGGGGGGTAGTGCGCACCAATTTTATTTTTTTTTGACCGGGGGGGGGGGGGGGTTACGTCCCTGTGTTTCAGTACATTTTGGGAGAATTTAGGGCTGATTCTTTAAGGGGTCCCAACAAAATCCCAACGACTCAGCCAGCCGCAAAATAAGCGGGGGGGGGGGGGGCATGTGTTATGGCTCAAGGCATGGGCACAGAGAGGATATTTGTATGTTGGGAACCGGGGTAAAATGCAATTAATTATTGGAAAATTATTGTATTTTCTGTTTTTTATTTTATTTATGGAAACTGTCCCCTACCCTTGCCCCCGCTGCGTACAGTCATGGTTCAGTGACAAAGCAATGGCCTCGTAACTGTGAGGCTCCAGGATCAAACCGTGTCGATGTGCTATATAAGTGCCCTTTTGTGGGGCATTAATCCTCTTTACTGTCATTTATGACTTTAGGGCGTAGGTCCCCTTTTTGATAAGCATAGAAGCATACACATGCTTTAGCAGTCACGCAAGACACACGTTTGCAAATTATTATTCAATACAATCTGAGAATGTATACTTTTATCTAGATCTATTATTTTTAAATTATTTTTGAAATAATTTCATGAATTGAGGTAAAACAAAAATATTCCACCTATATGAGCGACAGTGTATGTTAAATTGCTTGATTGATCAGAAATACATGTATACACACGAGGGGGAACAGAGAGCAAAACAAATAGAGATATAAAGCAGAGGGGAGAGAAAGAGGGGATCTACTACACACTTAGCTTTAAAGGCTCATTTCATATAGGACAATATAGAACTAAAATATACCGCTTTATTCCGCTTCATACATCATGAAATTGATTACCAGTCTCTTAATCATGTTAAAGGCTGTATCATGTTATGTGTGGTTTTGAATTGAAAACATGAATGTTTGAATTAATGCATGAATGAATATCACATTCTTTTCTCCTGTGATTGTTAGTATAACACCTCATCTCACAAACTTAGAAATGCACCCCAAACTACATAGTCTACCAACACTTACTCGTTTCTTCTATTTTACATGTTTATCTCACTTCCGTGTTTAACATCACAAATTGTTCACACTCCAACAAAGCAATACACAATACAATCTCACCCAATCTAAACGTCAGGTGCTATTCTTATCTCTGTAATATAATTTCCAAAGGAACGATGACAACGTAGAGACTCCTTCGATAATGAAAACTTTGTCGGAGGAAGATCATATCATCAATATCTAATTTGAGCTTCAGACGATCAAGATTTCGCCGAGTCGCATATCGTCCAACGTTGAACTAATGCGCATTTGGCAGTGTTATGCATGCACAGCAGGCGCAGATTCAGGCGGGGGCACAGCCGTCCCGTGCCCCCTTTTCTTGGCGGCAAAAAAAAAGAGAAATAAAGAAAAGGAAAGAAGAAGGGTAAAAAAATTATCATGCAAATGGCACATGCCATGAAAATGTCCTTGACATTGTCATAAACCATGTCATTTATGAGATATGAAGCGAACAAAATCCATACAGAAATAAATGGAACTAAATAAATGGAAATAAAATGCTGTGCGAGTGGTTCAGATGCAACAAGCTATTATTGAATTTTAAGAAACAAATTAGGTATTATGCCATTCTAAAACGAAAAAGATTCCATCAAACACTGACCCGATAATTTATTGAAAATACTGTTATTGAGAGAACCTAGTCATTAATTTTCTTTGGAATTCTCATTCATGAATAACTTGACAGGAAGTATCACATAGCTAATATACACTGTCGCTCATATAGTTGGAATATTTTTTTTAACCTCAATTTATGGAATTATTTTGATAATGATTAATTCCTAATAGATCTAAATAATAGTATACATTCTCAGATTTAATTGAATAATAATTTGCCAGTGTTTGTTTTGCATGACTGCTAAAGCATGTGTATGCTACTATGCTTATCAACTATGGGACCTACGCCCTTAAGTCATAAATGACAATAATGAGGATTAATGCCCCCAAAAAGGGCACTAATATAGCACTCTAACACGGTTTTGATCCTGGGGGCCTCGCATCTACGAGGACATTGCTTTGCTACTGAACCATGACTGTACGCCGCGGGGGCTAGGGTAGGGGGCAGTTCCCACATATGTAAAAAAAAAAAAAAAAAAAAAAAAAAAAGAAGAAAATGCAATAAATTATCAACAATTCATTGAATTTCCCCCCGGTCCCCAACTCAAAAAAAAAAATTCTATGTGGCCATGCCTTAATGCATGGCCGTACAGAGGATTTTGTTATGTTAGGGGGAATTCAATGAATTATTGAACATTTATTGAATTTTTTTTTAATGTGTGGGAACTGCTCCCTACCCTAGCCCCCGCTGCGTACAGTCATGGTTCAGTGGCCAAGCAATGGGCTCGTAATATGAGGCCCCGGATCCAAACCGTGTCGATGTGCCATGTTAGTGTCCTTTTGTGGGGTATTAATTCTCATTACTGTCATTTTATGACTTAATTTGATACGCCTAGTTGATAAGCATAGTAGGAAACACATGCTTTAGCAGTTTCGCAAAACGAACACTGGCAAATTAATTTTTGATAAAATCTGAGAATATATACTATTATCTAGATCTATTAGGAATAAATCATTGTCAAAATAATTCCATGAATTGGGGTAAAAAAATATATTCCAATTATATGAGCGACGTGTATATTCTAAGATTTCAGGAAGCATAGGTGTTTCATCCAAACTCCGAAACATTTTACAGACCAGTCAATATTGATAAACTATATATTTTACAAAAACGTGCAATGCCACTGATAAAAAAGAGTGACTTTCGCAATCCCAGTCTACCACTATTTGTTAAATAAATAATTTTTCAAGAGTTTGAACTATCAGAACTATTGTTTAAGTGTCACAAAGGGATTTTCCCAGTATTTTTCCATAATATGGTTAGAACAAATTCTTCATTCAATCTTATCACACTCGTATCCTAGAAAATATCTGTGTTTGTATTGCTTATGTGTGTTTACGTGTGCTTTGTAAAGTCTGTTGATCCGTAGGTCATCTGAGGTGACATCTGCTTCCGGAAGAGGAAAGAAAAGATCATGAGAGTTCAAAGTAACAGAAAAAAGCACACATCGCGTAGCCCTACTTTGTGACAGTATGTGGCAAGTCCCCAAACATGATCTCGAAAACTAATCATACTATCTTTGCTTCAGGCTTTATGATTTGTGGTAAAGTTTCAAATCGGAGTCTGTTCGAGCAGACAGGTTTCAGACACAGGAGTGCATATTGATCCGGTTGTCTCATGTTCGCTCGCTGGACATATGTAGCAGACGGCAATCGGCGGAGTAGACGACACTTGGTAGTGAATTTGTATGTGAGATTGGTTTGCTAAATATAAAATACAAGAACATTTTCCATATCTTTAAACTATCATTGATATCTGATAATTAAACAGTGAAATAAACCTACCAAACTACATAATACAATGGAATACTTTACTTAAAGTAGGGGAGTTTGATGTGGAGCACAATTGCACCCCTCTGTAATTAATCGAATAGTCCATGGTGATCATGAATATTCAGGTTTTTGCTTGCCTCGGCAAAATGCTTACCAAAACTAAATGGAAAAATTACGGTGGGGGTTGGCTAAAATGGACATAATGAACCGATCCGAACTGATCAATGATAATTCATGATTGTTATGCTTCGTGTGCTTGAGCTTTAACCTTACAATCCCGTGGCAAATTGCGTCCAAAGTTCGACTTGTTTCACATGTGTTATATAGGCAAAGGCGAGCTAGCGACCTATTTTGACCAAATTACGGTGGGTGAACTTTCAAAAGTCAATGGGACATGAGGGTTCCAATGAAAGAGCTAGTGTCAACGTACGTCGGGGTGGATGTGCTTTTCGCTTAAACAAAAAATGAATTGTTAACGATTTTTATTTATTTTTATTATTATTATTTTTTTTTTTTTATTTATTTATTTATTTATTTATTTATTTATTTATTTTTTTTTTTTTTGGGGGGGGGGGGGCAAAAATCAATAGGGGGCGATGTCAAATGAGACTAAACGGAGCTATATGGGATTCATTGACCATGACGGGAGTAAGAAGGGTATTAATACTCCGTTTTAGTAGGCCTGTGTATAACAAAATTCCTCTGGTTCAATTTTTATTTTAATATCCACATCGTCATGAATAACGATAGATCCATGTTTTTAAGCAATTTACCTTCTCCTTTTTTTTATTCTTTTTTCCTGTGCCAAGAGACTGTGGCTCGCAGTCGTGTAGTGACCAAAGTAACAGCCGGGGTCTTACAAAGTTCTATCGTCCCCCTTTTTCCCGTGGGCCTGCGAGCCTGAGGTGAAGGTGTTTTTTTTAAGGTGCTACACAGCAACCCCACCCCCCAACAAAAACCAAAAAAAATCCAACACTGGGTAAATCGTGCGAAATCTTGAATGTACCCAACAGTTGGTCGGACACATAATCTCCCTCATGTTTGGGAAAATTGGGCAATTTTTGGCCCAATATTTTTAAGAATGTTCCACTACTGATTAAATAATGCTTACCAAAGAAGTATTGTCACTAATGCCATATTAGTCAAGAATCTAGCCGATTCAGTATTCAATAATCTCTGCTACCCCGATCTCCCCTTTCTTGCTTTTAATTATAAGTACCGGCTAGTTTCTGGACTAATGCCTATATAATCGATAAACGCTTGCAAATGTTTTTAAAACGTTTTGCTTGCATGTTCAGATATTCCAATCAAGTAATTGGTCGCAGGAAGGAGCAAAAACTTGCTTTCTTGCTAGCAGTCGCTCAAGAAGACTAGGAATAGTTTATTATTCCAAAAGAATATTATCCAAAATAAAAAGGAAAAACGCTTGCCAGATTGGTAAATGGTCATTTGTTAAAAGGATGAATTTTCCTTCCTTCTTTTTTTTTTGGTAAGTGCAATTTCCTGTTTTACTAACTTATGTAATGGTCAAAATTTAATGGCTATTCACCTCTGCAGTGCCGGATCCAGGATTTCCAAAAAGGGGTGGGGAGGGCACGAAGCAAACGTATACGGAAAGCGCACTTTGACTGCGTATTAAAGAGAGAGCCCTTTTCCTTAGGGTGCAGGGACAGAGCCCCTTGCCTTGGACCTGATAGCTCTCGAGTTTTAGCATTTCGGAATTATCAGAACCTTCAAGAAGCCGGCCTCATCGATATAAACACCAAACTCACTCTCTCTCTCTCTCTCTCTCTCTCTCTCTTTTCTCTTTCTCTTAAGGATAATGTTATACATCAAATTTGTGTCTTGGGATCCACATGGGTATAATATACAGATCATGGCTTCCGTAACTTAAAATTACTTTCGCATGAAGTTCTAAAGATTGTCAAGATCATATTTAATGGAAGCCTTTAGTCCTAAATGCATGAAATCAAGTCCGAAATGAATGATTTGTGCAGGAAACATCGAATTTAAGTTGACCCATAGATAACTTGACTTGTCGTCGTACCCAGACGAAATACATGTATCCAATCCACCTTATACATCCCTCTCTTTATACTCAGTCCTCATGGCTAGACTAACTCATGTTAACCTTCAACATAGTCGAAAATAAAAATAAACAAACAATCAAACAAATATTATTAGATATGGCATCAGTGGTTTTCATTTACTCCAGCTATAAAAGCATGAAGTAAAGTTGACAAGTCGAACAGTATAGAAGGAAATATGCTGCAGTAAATGCTACAAGAAAAAGAAAGAAAACACACACACACACAAAGATAGAGATGATGAAAAATATATTCAGTGGCATATTACTGTATTTCGCCATTTCAAATAACATATCTTTAATTTCAAGGAGCATAATATATCTGATCATATTTTGTAGATTTCAAAAGCAAAGATATTTTATTTGAAAAAACGGCGGGTTTAAATTTCAGTCTTATCTCCATACGCTGAAGTAAATATCAGAACATGACAACATTCTAAAACCAATTAAAAGTATCCTTCTAAATTATATGTCAAATCACATTATACAGATCTAACATCTTATTAACATTGCACTCACTCGTGGAGGGAAGGCTGAGAGCTGGTACAGGGATGCGATGAGAATTTTAAGTTTTTCTCTTTCTTTTGAATATGTTACTTTTTTTTAGTTTGAAAAATATTACGGCAAAGATATCCTCTGAAATGATTTGCTCTGCAATTGCCTTCAAATCTGAAATAAAACAAGAAATAGCTAAAAGTGTTGGAATAAACTTTCAAGCCACACGTGTGTGTTCCATATACTCAATACTGTAATCACTGAACGTGACTAAAATTGAATATCCTTTTCCATCATTTTGATGATTCTATAACATCAGCGTATACAGCAATTCTCAAATACTTTGTAATCAACCTTTCCCGATTGCCTCCAGAAATGTACTTTCAACATGTATTTTAAAGGGCCTGAAGAGCCTTTATACCCCCCTCCCCCCCCAAAAAAAAAAAAATATATATATATATAATAATAATTATAATAATAATAATAATAACACAGCTTGTCTCTTGCAATAAAGCGAAAACACAAAAGACTGACTAACGGACTGTGGACAAAAGAATTGGTCATGCATGCCACACCTTCTGAACGTTATGATAGCCCCACTTAGTCAATATATGATACTAGCACTACTAGTTTCCAAGGTTTTCAAAAAAAAAATTCAAAGAATTCAAATTGTAGGCTTAACCATACAGATATATCAAGGAAGCTTCAAATTCAGAGTACAACCAAATAAGGATTTCTAGTTTGGGGCCACCTTACAAATGAAAGGCAGGTCCCTTTCACAGGAAAGGTCGTTCCAAGACTGGAGGATATCATCTCCTGCGTTCCTACGCCACAAATGGACGCAGTCCTCGTTGTTACCACCGTTGGACGGCTGACCAGACACCCATCGCACGAAGTTTAGACCGGATCCATCTGACCAAATGAAAGGTCCGCTTGAGCCTAGTGTTGTCTGGTAGGCACCAATCCAAACCGCATACTCACCCTGTCCAAGACAACAACAAAGAAATCGGTAAAAAAGAAAATCAGTAAAATCAGATCAGAAGAAAAGTGAATATATCATTGCTTATCAACTGAATGTAATATGGCTTCTTATATAGGGCTCATATCCGTGACGCTGTGATGCTCATGCAGGCGCGGATCCAGGATTTCTAAGGGGGGGGGGGGAGGGGCCCAATTATTTTAATTTTTGCTTCTGAAAATTAGAAAATCGGGCCGGCCAAAAGTTCGCTCAGTGTATTTACCCCATTTAACCGAAACAAATATGTATGTGTTTATATGTTGCCAGAGAACCCTCGTACCAAAATATGATGTATTTCAACATATGGAAACGTTGTATCATCCGCTCAATCTGACTTGCGTGCATAGAACAAATAAGCATTTTTCGATGAAAAAGTGAAGTTTTCTAAAAATGTGCGTTTCTTTCCAGCATCGGGGCGCCCGGAAGTCACTCGGGTAACATTTCATAAATTATAATATAAAAAGACCATATGCAAATTGTCTGTACTTTTGTGGTAAAAAAAACATTTATCAAGCACAATGTCGTCTCTTTTTGCGTTGGAGAAGAGCAAATAGCGAGTTTCAATCACACTTTGGCCGCTCTTGCAAGCTCTCACTCGTTTCACTGTGGTCAAGAGACTTTTGGGCAAGCGGTTAATGAAAATACTAATCGTTAGCTTTCTTCTGGTATCAAACTTGTTTTGATTGATTGTATAATTTTGTCGAAATAAAGGAAACATAAAGGCTCGACCAATAACTTATCAGCGTCTGAATTGACCTTTTGACCTTAAATTCCCTTGTACTTCATTCCAAACTGACATAAAAAAAAGTTCACAAATCTTACACCGTAACCGGACCTAAACCATGCCAAGGAAACTTTTCTTAAAGGGCAAAAAAGAGCAATCCAAACTTTTTAATACGTTCATTTGAATGAAAGCAGAAAAGCCAGAGCAGCAGAATGGTGAAAGTTCGAAACATATCGGTCCAATGATAAAAATAAAAATTTATAAATGACACCTATGCGAATCTCAAATTGTCAACTTTGTCAGTAGAGTGTAATGTAGTGACGGATAAGTCATTTCTGTTTTTATCCCAAGTGCCTTCACCCTTTGGGCACTACTCAAAATATATTTATGGAGAGTATATTATTTACAGGTCCTCAAAAAATAAAAGACCATCCAAAGTCATACATTTTTCGAAAATTAAAATTTCAGTCATTTGTTGTGTTGGCACAAGCAGGAAAGTTGTCCGCTTCTACGTCACATAGACACTATATATCGTTTCAGCCAACTTGAAGAACCCATACCGATAAAGATTGTAGCTTACAAAAATTCATAACTTTCTCAATTTTAGTCCGATTTCTTTAACACTGTCACTAGTGTCCTTCTCTATTTTTCCTGATTTCTTCTAGAGTTGTTTGCTATCAAGGTCGGATTTCCTTTTCACTTACAGTGATGCTTGCAGAAGAGCGGGAAAGGTCGTAAGCGAAGGCGTTCTCCTGTTCCGTGTGGATGGATACTAAATCAGCCCGTCCATTCAAGGAATAGTGATCCCTGCAGCGATTCCGAGCCTCTAGCCAAGTGGCCGGCCCCCCGAAGTAACGGTAGCAGTTCCCGCTAAATAAAAGCCACAACGGGGGGCATGGATGACACGCATGTGCATCTAAGCCGTAAGCTGCCACGGCTAGAACGGCCATTGATGCGAGCAGAAGCTTCATGTTGATTACTAGAGTGTCAAAGAAGAAAAGTTAAAAAAAACTATTACAAATTAACGACTTAAATGTACACCCACAAATTACCAATCATATATGTTTAATCTAGCGTACCATAATTTTATTTAAAGGACGTTGCCCAAACCTCCTCGCTAGGAATTTTTGACCCAAACATCAAAGCATCTAGCAATGTAATAGCCAATCGTTTAATGTCTGCAGACATCATACTGAAAAGGAGTAAGGGTGTCGGTTTACTTCAGAAACAACAACAAATCTTAATTAACAAAGGCATCTTTTCTTCTGTTCGTAAGAGATTTGAGGACTTCTTCCTCGTCCCTGGCAATAAAATTCTCTAACATCCGCTGAATATTCTAGACAAGTTAAGATTCTTTGCATGAGATAGAAATGCCACAGTAGTGTAAACCAGGTCATGACCAATGATAATCAAGCGTAGAAATCTTGTTCAGATTAGCTTGTCATGAGGTGCAATTTGTTGGTACCACCTCCTCGCCAGGAATGTTGAACCCAGACATCAAAGTACCTAGCAATGTAATAGCAAATCCTTTAACGTCTGCAGACGTATACTGAGAAGGGGAAAGCTTCATTGTGCCGTATCACTCCCCCCACCCAAGGTAAAGTTTGTATTGGTTTCCCTTTGCCAACCAGAGCAGTATTTTATTAATCAGAGGTTTATTAGTTGAAACTGTGTGATTCTGGCCGCATTATGTACAGCCGCTAAAGGCAGAGCAGAGGGGAGGGAGCCGGGTGCTCCATGCCCGCCAAGCCGGCGGTGAGGAAGCTCATTACGACGATAAGTCAATAGTCAGCTAGTAGCTGATGTCGGGCCGATGTCGGCAGTCATCAGCCAATATCGCTGTCGCCAAACTGACGTCGAGCCGACATCGGACGAATTTTAGAAAACGGCTCGCCAGGGGCTCTAAAGTACTAGGCCCCTGGATGCTCATCTGTCCTTAATCAAATGCCTAAACCCCCTGATTATAGACCTGCCAGTGTCACAAATAAGGTATCTAAATACGCTTAACTGACCATAACTAAATGCCTAAAACACTTGAGCTTCCGGGGGCTGCGCCCCTTGAGCCCCGCCGAGGCAAAGCCCCTGGACCCCATGCCAATCTACGCTCCACTCCCTTGGCTCGCTACGCTCTACCTGATCCACTTTGCAAAACGTTCCGCGGGGCCTGCATGTAACATATAAAGGCGGTGGCGACGCAGATGTTTCTTCTGCAACACCTCCCCAAACAACAAAACAAGTGTTTTGCTCGTTACGTCACTGCCCCCTAAAAAATGAACCCCCTGGAATATTTGCCCGCAAATCCTAAACTGCTTTCGGTACGCCTGGGCACCTGCACGTGCATGTCTCTATTATGTTTATATCGTTTGTCGAATTTATTTCCCCCTTTATTGTATTTCTAACATTAAGTTTATCAAGGGTATCAATGTTGTAATGAAGCTTGTAAAAAGTAACTTTCAAGTATAACAAATATAATTTGAGATGTGTTTAATTCCAAATTAGGACATATTATGCACACAGTTTGATGAATATTTGAATACCTTTGAGTTTTCATTCTCTAGCTTTCTATCGAACATGGATACATGAAAATACTTCATTATTGTTAGAGAAACAAGGTTACACTTTTATCTAATCCGAACGTACCGGTGGAAGGGATGGTGGTGATGCTATGTTAATTTAGGATTATCTTGACATTACTGTTAGAGATGACACCAGGACTCATTCAGATGATCTTGAATCTTTTTTCACTGAAATAATTGATAAAATTGACAAACCGATGGTAGTTAAAATGATATAAAAAAAAAAGAATCAAACATTTAAATGTTTACTTTAATATCGACTAGATTAATATGATTGGTTTTAACATTGACCATGTGAAGATTATGCAAAATAATGGTAATGATTTTGTTAGTATGATTTATTCACATTTTGTTCTGCCTCGTACCATGATAACTAAGAAGTCTGCATCTCTGATTGACAAAGGTTTTTCCTATAAATATAATGTGTGTGCCAGTTTAACTCCTAGTATTCTGTATTGTGATGCAACTGATCATTAATATATAAAACCTATTGAAATCGAGATGATCAGAAATTCATGAATACACACGAGGGGGAACAAAGCAAAGAGCAAAACAAAGAGAGATATAAAGCAGAGGGGAAGAGAAAGAGGGGATCTACTACATACATATCTTTAAAGCCTCAGCTAATATATAGAAGAAAATAGAAGTAAAATATACTGCTTCATTTCGCTTCAGTCACGTCATGAAATTAAATCACCTTCTTTTCTCCTCCTGTTTGCCTCAAACACTTCTCTCACAAAATACACTTCAAACTACATAGTCTACCCACATACACTCGTTTCTTCTATGTTACATTTTTATCTCACTTCCGTGTTTAAAATCCCAAATTGCTCATACTACATCAAAGCGATACACAATACAATCTCACCCAATCTAGATGTCAGCTGCTATTCTTACCTTCGTAATATAAATTCAAAAAGAACGTTGACAACGTACAGGCTCCTCCGATGATGAAAACTTTGTCGAAAGAAGATTAATTCAGCTATATCTACTCCTAATTAGAATTTCAGACGGGTCAAGAAGGCGCTGAGTCGCATAACATCCAACTTGAAACTACTGCGCATTTGGCGATGATATAAATGTACAGCAGGCGCGGATTTGGGCGCCTGCATAGCCGGACACCCCCCCCCCCTTTTGAAGCTTAAAAAACGTGAGAAAGAAAGAAAAAAGAAAGAGAAAAGGGTAATAATAATCATGCATATGGCACATGCCATGAAAATGTCATTGACATTGTCATTAACCATGTCATTAATGAGATATGAAGCGAACAAAAGCCATACATAAAAAAGGGGAACAAAAATTTAGATTCTGACGAAATTAATAGGTGCTCTGCTACGCTATGCGGCAGATAACATAATTCAAAATGTTATGCGACTGGTTCAGATGTCACAAGCTATTATTTAATTTGAGGAAAACAATGTATTTATTATTCCATTCTAAAAGGGAAAAAATATCCATCAAACACTGACCCGATAAGAATTGAAAATACTGTTATCGAGAGACCTGAGTCATTAATTTGTTTTGGAATTCTCATTCATAAATAACTTGACAGGAAGTTTCACATGGTTAATATACACTGTCGCTCATATAGCTGGAATATTTTTTTGATTTATTCCTAATAGATCTAGTTAATAGTAAACATTCTCAGATTTTATTATATAATGTGTCAGTGTTTGTTTTGCGTGACTGCTAAAGCATGTGTATGCTTCTATGCTTATCAACTATTGGACCTACGCCCTTAAGTCATAAATGACAGTGATGAGGATTAGTACCCCACAAAAGGGCACTAATATAGCACATCGACACGGTTTTGATCCTGGGGCCTCACAGCTACGAGGCCATTGCTTTGCCACTGAACCATGACTGTACGCATTGGGGGCTAGGGTAGGGGGCAGTTTCCACAAATAAAAAACAACAAAGAAAATGCAATTAATTATCAATAATTCATTGAATTCCCCCCCCCGGTCCCCTACAGAAAAAAAACTTCTATGTGCCTATGCCGTGGGCTATAATGCATGGCCGTACAGAGGATTTTTTGTTGTGTTAGTGATCGGAGGGGGGGGGGGGAGCGGGGGAATCAACGAATTATTGAAAATTTATTGCAATTTTGTATTTTTTGTATTTTTTGGAACTGCCCCCTACCCTAGCCCCCGCTGCTTACAGTCATGGTTCAGTGTCCAAGCTATGGCCTCGTAACTGTGAGGCCCCAAGGATCAAAACCGCGTCGATGTGCCATATTAGTGTCCTTACGTGGGGCATTAGTCCTTATTTCTGTAAATTATGGCTTAAGGGCGTAGGTTCCCTAGTTGATAAGCGTAGTAGCATACACATGCTTTAGCAGTTTCGCATAACAAACACTGGCAAATTATTATTTAATAAAATCTGAGAATGTATATTATTATCTATAAATTCCATGAATTGGGGTAAAACAAAAATATTCCAACTATATGAGCGACAGTGTATATTCTAAGATTTCAGGAAGCATAGGTGTTTCATCCAAACTCCGAAATTTGTTACCTTCCAATCTATATTGATAAACTATATATTTTTCAAAAACGTGCAATGTGACCGATAAAACATAGTGACTTTCGCAATCCCAGTCTACCACTATTTGTTAAATAAAGAATTCTTCCAGAGTTTGAACTATCAGTTTTAATGTTTAAGTATCACAAAGGAATTTTCCCAGTATTTTTAATAATATGTTTAGATCTAATTCTTCATTCAATCTTAGCCCACTCGTATTCGGGAAAACTCTGTGTTTGTAATGCTTATATGTGTGTTTGCGTGTGCTTTGTAAAGTCTGTTGATCCGTAGTTCATCTGAGGTGACATCTGCTTCCGGAAGAGGAAAGAAAGGATCATGAGAGTTCAAAGTAACAGGAAATAACACACATCGCTTAGTCATACTTTGTGACAATATGTGGAAAGTCCCAAAACATGATCTCGAAAACTTTGCTTCAGGCCTTGTCAGTTTACTAGGCAGATATCCTGATAGTTTGCAGACACAAAGCCTAGCCAGTCGCTGTGCGTAACAGTGTCTGTACAGTGAGTTTCAAATCAAAGTCTGTTCGAGCAGACAGGTTTCAGACACAGGAGTGGATTCATTGACCATGACGAGAGTAAGAAGGGTATTAATATTCCGTTCTAGTAGGCCTATGAATAACAAAATCCCTCTGGTTCAAGCTTTATTTTAATATCCATATCGTCAGGAAAAACGATAGATCCATGTTTTTAAGCAATTTACCTTCTCTTTTTTTCCCTTCTTTTTTCTTGTGCCAAAAGACTGTGGCTCGCAGTCGTGTAGTGACCAAGATAACAGCTGGGGTCTCACAAAGTCCTATCTTCCCCCTTCTTCTCGTGGGCCTACGAGCCTGAGGTGAAGGTGTATTTTTTAAAGGTGCTACACAGCGATCCCCCTCCCCCAAAAAAACAAAACAACAACAACAACAAACAAACAAACAATAAAAGTGATATTTAATTGTGTTTTGGTTACATTTTTGTGTTCTAATTTATTTTAATTTTCACATTTTGTTTGGTTAATTTGGGTTTTGGTTGTTCTGTTTTCGCTTGACCAGGATTCTTTGGACGTCAGTTGTGCTCCTCAGGTTATTACCGAATACCCTCAACTCCACTAGTGACCCAACAAAATCATTCCAACAGGGCCCTGCCCTTCCCCTCTTTCTGTTACTGGTTAGATAATATTTACTAGAGAATATGAACAAGTAAACCCTTTCCTTTTCACGTGATAATGTACGTACTTGTTCCGATACACATTTCTTTTTATTAATTCCTTGTTGTTTTAGGTGAAAATCATCAGAAGGTTTCTGGAGCCAGGATATCGCATGTTTTCTTTTTATCTTATGAAGCATCGCAGAGCAACGTCAGCATAGTCTTACAGTGCAGACATTTTTACGCACAGTGACTGATAAGAGTATCTTCGTGCAAACTAAACTCTTCTTTGCTTGTGCGTGTTTTAAGTTTAGTGCCAGTTTAGTTGTAGCAGTGTACTTTTACTAAATAGTATTTCGAGCTTAGATTTCTGTTCGTTTTATTATACCTTGACTGTAGTCAAATGTGATTGATAACAAATATTTGTGAAATACTCATCAGGTTAAATACACGAAATATTTGCCCTTCGAAAAACTGTTTCACTGGAGATTTCACGAATGCAACCTTGTATCTCCCTAAATTTGATAGTGTTGTAAAAAAAAATCAAATTAAGGATCTTGCTTCCTTTTTTTAATCGTAAACTGCCAAGATTGAAACCGCCGGATAAATAGTTCATTCAGTCGATATTAGCTGCATGTTTCTACTTTCTTTGAATAGCCTTAAGCGTAATTTAAATTAGTAGCTATTTGTAACTCCATGCTTTGCATACACTACTATGTGCATCAAGCAGGATTATCGTTAGGGCTGTGGCTATTTTTAGAAACTTGCCTTCACTGTAAAAAATCAAAAAATTGGGAAGACGTTACTGGGTAAATCGAATTTTTGCAAATTGTGTCCAATATTTGGGTTATTTTTCCCCAAGCATTTACTATATGAAGTTACCTAATGAAAGGTATAAATAGGTTGGGTAGGTGTTACTCGGCAAATCGATGTTTGGCAAATGTTGTCCAATAGTTGGGTCATTTTCTACCAACCATGAATTTACCGATGAAATAATTGGGTAATGTTATTGGCCAAATTAAAGTTGGGCCATTTTGTCCGCCATTTGGGTGATTTTCTCCAAACCATTTACTACATGTATAGTTACCCAATTAAATGTTCAAAAGTAGATGTGCAGATGTTACCGGGCAAACGTAAGTCGGGCAACAATTATGCAACAAATAGGGTTCTGTTCATACACTGTCGCTCATATAGTTGGAATATTTTTGTTTTACCCCAATTTATGGAATTATTAAAATAAAAAAAATCCTAATATATCTAGATAATGGTATACATTCTCAGATGTATTGAATAATACTTTGCCAATGTGTGTTTTGCGTGCATGCTAAAGCATGTGTATGCTACTATGCTTATCATCTAGGGGACCTACGCCCTTAAGTCATAAATGACAGTAAAGAAGATTAATGCCCCAAAAAAGGGCACTAATATAGCACGTCGACGCAGTTTTGATCCTTGGACCTCACAGTTACGAGGCCATTGCTTTGTCACTGAACCATGACTGTACGCAGCGGGGACTAGGGTAAGGGCAGCTTCCATAAATAAAAAACAAAAAAGAAAATGCAATAAATTTTCAATAATTAATTGTATTTTACCCCGGTACCCAACATAAAAAATCCTCTGGACGGCCATGCATTATGGCTCAAGGCATGGGCACACAGAGGATTTTGTTTATGTTGGAGACCTGGGTAAAATGCAATAAATTATTGAAAATGTATTGCATTTTCTGTGTTTTTTTAATATTTACGGAAACTGCCCCCTACCCTAGTCGCCGCTACGTACAGTCATGGTTCAGTGACAAAGCAATAGCCTCGTAACTGTGAGGCCCCTGGGTCAAAACCGTGTCGATGTGCTACATGTATATTAGTGCCCTTTTGTGGGGCATTATTCCTCATTACTGTCATTTATGACTTAAGGGCGTAGGTCCCCTATTTGATAAGCATAGTAGCAGACACATGCTTTAGCTGTCACGCAAAACAAACATTGGCAAATTATTATTCAATAAAATCTGAGAATGTATACTATCATCTAGATTCTTTTTAAAATAATTCCATAAATTGGGGTGAAACAAAAATATTCCAACTATATGAGCAACAGTGTATGTTAGAGGTGTTGTGGTCGAGTGGATATGTCACAGGACTATGAATCAAGGTCCGCCGTTCGAGTCCCGCCGCGGCACTATTGTCCTTTTATATATAATATGTTATCCAACCTATTTGCCCAACTAGTGTCTAATATGCTACACATTATGGTGAGAATTGGGTGAATTTTCGATTGGGTACTCTGATTGGGTAATCTTTTGTTGATTGAAAGTTGGGTATTTTCTTTTTATCTAACACTGGGTAAATCATGCGAAATCTTTAATTTACCCAACAGTTGGTCGGACACATAATCTCCCTCATGTTGGGGAAAAATTGGGCAATTTTTGGCCCAATATTTTTGAGAATGTTCCACTACTGATAAAATAATGCCTACCAAAGAAATATCGTCACTAATGCCATATTACTTAAAGATCTGGCCGATTCAATATTCAATAATCTCCACTACCCCAATCTCCCATTTCCTGCTTATATTTATATGTACAGGCTAGTTTCTGGACTAATGCCTATATAATCGATAAACGCTTGCAAAGGTAAAACGTTTTGCTCGCATGTTCAAATATTCCAACCAAGTAATTGCTCGCAAGAAGACTAGGAATAGCTTGTATTCCTTTTAAATTTTACCCAAAATCAAAGATAAAAGTGTCGTTATTGTTCACAAAAGCTTACCAGATTGTTAAACGCTTATTTTTAAAAGATATCTTGTGATCCACTTCTTTCGTTACGGATAGGGTCCAGGGGTAGTCCATGATAGGATCCAAAGGTACGATGGGTATAATGTGCAGGCAGGGGCAGCGATTTTTTTTTCATGACCAGGGGGGACGACTTCGAGGGACGAGGTAGCAGTGGCGTACTGAGCAAAACAAAATCCGCATCACCACCACTCTTACATGTTACGCAGGCCCTGGCAACGTTTTTCAAAATGGGGAGGTGGGGCTAAATTATTTACGATCAGGTAGAGCAAAGCGAGCGAAGCAAGTGGAGCGTAAATTGGTGGGGTCCAGGGGCAGAGCCCCATGAGACTCAAGGGGTTTAGGCATTTAATTAAGTCAGATGAGCATATTTTGATACCTTATTTACATGCATGTCACTTATTTGAGTGGGGTCCAGGGGTCGGAGCCCCCAGAAGCTCAGAGGTTTTAGGCATTACATTACGATTAAATGAGCATCGAGTTGCCCAATATGCAATACTAGCAATATACTTTTTTCACACTTCACTTCTCTCAGTATTTACTTGTACATTTTGAAGGAAATTATGCGAGGGAGCGTAGCTTCCGAGTGAGAAGATTTTAGCATTTTCATTCGTCTAAACGCTGCACTCTTGGGCCCTTCAGAGTCTAAAAGTATGTTGCAGACTTTAGTCAGTATTTGCTGTACATTTTTGTGCACTTTTTCAAATTTTGAGGGGGGACGATCCCCCCTAAAAAAATTGAGGGGGACGTGTCCCCCCGTCCCCCCCCCCCGGGATCGCCGCCCCTGTATGCAGGCCATGGCTCCTATAGCAACGAATTATTTTCGCTTCAATTTCTCATGATTGTCAAGATCATATTTAAAGGCAGTTTTATTCTTAAGCTCATGATATCAAGTCCAAAATAAATGAATCATGCAGGGAACATCGAACTTATGATGACCCATATATTACTTGACAAATGCTCTCGTACACAGACGAAATACATGTATCCAATCCACCTTATACATCACTCTCTTTATACTCAGTTCTTATGACTAGCCTCAATCATGTTAACCTTGAACATAATCGTAAATAAAAACAAGCGAGCAAACACACAAACAAACTTACATATATTGTTAGATATGACCTGTAATTCATTTTCTCCAAATATAAAAGCTTAAAATACAGTAAAAAGGAAATATGTTGCAGTAAATGTGATTAGAAAAAAAAAGAAACACTATAAAACTAAGGAAGACATTATGAAACATATTATGTTCAGTGGAATGTTACAAACTTACAATAATTCGTCTTTTCAAATAACATATCTTTAATTTCAAGAAGCATAATTTATCTGATGATATTTGGTTGATTTTCATAGCAAAGATTTTTTTTTAAAGTTTGAAGTTTTATTTATTCCACATTTTACTTAAAAAAACAGTTTATATTCTGTATTTGATTTTTTTTTTTTTTTACAGGCGTATATCATTATAAAAGTAGATTTCACACAAGAAAAAAAATGAAGATTTCAAATCAAATATAATGCATGGAAAAGAAGTACGAAATTTCGAAATATGTAGATATAATAGGCAAGACAGAATAATGTAAAATGTGGGGAACCTAAGTAAAAAGCATAGCTTGCATGTGAATGGGCTCCCGTGTATTTAAAATTTAGAATAGAAAGTCTGAGGGCTGGTACAGGTATTGAGTTTTTCTTATTCCTTTTAATGTCTTACTGATTTTTTGTTTGAAGAATATCATGGCAAAATTGTCCTCTAGAATGAACTGCTCTGCAAATGCCTTCAAATCTAAACAAATCACGAGGGAATGCTGAAAATATTGAACCTAACATTCAAGTCACGGGTGTGTAAGCACTCAACGTGACGAAAATCGAGTCTCCTTTTCCATCATTTTGATGATTCCATAACCTCAGCGTATACTTCAATTCTCAAATACTTTGCAATCACCCTTTCCTGATTGCCTCCAGACGTCTTCTTTAAAAATGTTTTTTAAAGGGCTTGAAGTACCTATACACAAAAAAATACGATTGGATTTATACGGCGGGATCTGTGAAGGAGCCTTAACCGTTATTTGTGTGGCCAATTTTGTATACCAAACTAGAAAAAAAATCTAAATGTAAACTTTTCCAATACTGTCAATTTGTCTCTTGCAATAGGGACTTTTAGATTGAGTGGACGAGAACACGACGAACGCCGACTGATCATGCGTGTCAACGTACTTAACTGCCCATGTTGACTACATGATTAGAAATCTTTTGGATTACACTCGAAGATGTACATGCATGCAGGAAGTAACACTATGAACATCACGGACAAAGAAAGAGGACAAAATATACAGTCCTTCATTCTACCCTCAACAAAATAACACCTGTTATACACATTCTTACATAATAGCAGGAAAGGGATGTTCCTTTGTCTACCTGCGGAACTGTATATTTTATGCGCACGCGGCATACTAGTACCTTGAGCATGTAAAGGCGCTATATAAATATCAATATTTATGTATGTATGTACTGGATTTAGGAAAATCAAGGTTGATGCATTCTCGATCGCCGACTGAGACGACGTAACGCATGCGCAGTGCCTTAAAATGACGTCACACGTTGCAGTCGAAGCTGTCGACGTGCAAATCTAAAAGTCCCTATTAAAGCGAAAAAACACACGACTGACTAGGACTGTGGACAACAGAGTCGGTCATGCATGCAACACCCTCTGAACGTTATAATAGTCCTAATTATTCAATCTATATTGCTAGAAGTAACGATCTCTAAGGTTCTCAAGATTTGTTCAAAGGATTCTAATTATAGCCTTTAATATCAATACAGATGTATATCAAGAAAGCATCAATTCAGGCTACATTTCTAATTTGGTGCCACCTTACAAATGAAAGGCAGGTCCCTTTCACAGAAAAGGTCGTTCCAAGATTGGAGGATATCATCTTCTGCGTTCTTACGCCACAAATGGACGCAGTCCTCATTTCCTTCCCAATTGGACGGCTGACCCTCAAACCATTGCTCGAAGTTTAGACCGGATCCATCAGACCAAATGAAAGGTCCGGTTGAGCCTGGGGTTGTCTTGTAGGCACCAATCCAAGCTCCATAGTATGGCGGCCCAGCCTGTCCAGGACAACAACAAACAAATCAGTAAAAAAATAAATCAGTAAAATCAAATTAGAAAAATGTAGAGTAATCGTTGTTTATGAACTGCATGTATTAATGGCTTATGATACACTGCTAATATCCCTGACGCTGTGTTGCTCGTGGCACTTATACATTATTACCCTGGTTTTAGCCAAGCCGCCAACGTAACCAGGGCTCACTACCCATTAATAACTGAATGGAGAGTGGCAAATATAGATTAATGTCTTGTCAAAGAACATTAGTGCAGGGCTGGCTTCCGAACCCCGTTCCTTACAATCCACACAATTTGAAAGTTCACATGAATAGAAAAATATGCCGTTGCATTTTCACGAATTGTCATAAATCCTAACGAAAATTTATAATCGCTATTTCACCCTTCCATCTACTTTCCCTCCTCAAAAACCCTTTTCTCTCTTTCTCTTTCTTTCTTTCTTTCTCTTTCCTCAAACCGAACCCCCCTCCCACGTCTTTTTCTCCGTCTTCCTCTTTCTTTCTTTCTCTCCCCTTCCCCCTCTCCCTCTATCCCCTCCCTTTGCTCATTTCTTTTGTTTCCCCTATTTCCGCCACTCAATAAGGGGATAACGTGCCCCTGAGCTACGCCATTGCCATGTGTTGTCATAATTATTGTACTTTTAGTGTTACACTTGTAGTTACCGTTAAAATCATATTTAAAAACACATAAAAGTATTTTCTGCTTTGTCGCCAAAGAGCCTTTAACTAGAGAGCTTTTATTTTACTTTGACCCATTTTATTTATGTCATATATATATATATACACTGTTGGTCATAATGGTGGAATAATTATTTTTACCCAAGTTTATTGAATGATTTTGACAATGATTTATTCCTAATAGATCTATATAATAGTATACATTCTCAGATTTTATTGAATGACAATTGGGGAGTGTTTGTTTTGTGTGACTGCTAAAGCATGTGTTTGCTACTATGCTAATCAACTACGGGACCTACGTCCTTAAGTCATAACTGACAGTAATGGGGATTAATGCCTCATAAAAGGGCACTAATATAGCAAATCGACACCGGTTTTGATCCTGGGGGCTCACAGTAACGAGGCCATTTCTTAGCCAATAAATCATGACTGTACGCAGCGGGCGCTAGCCCCCACAAAAAAAAACTAAGACGATGCAATACATTTTCAATAATTCATTGCATTCTCCCCCAGTCCCCAACAGGAAAAAAAATACTCTGTAAGGCCATGCATTATGGTTCAAGGCATGCCCACATAGAAGATTGTTTTATGTGTGGGGTCGGGGCAAAATGTAATGAATTATTGAACATTTATTGCATTTCGACGTAACCTGGCGCCCGCTGCGTACAGTCATGATTCATTGGCTAAGCAATGGCCTCGTTACTGTAAGCCCCCAGGATCAAAACCGGGTACTTCACAAAATATGTTATGTAGAGTATATTATTTTTAAAAGAAGAAGCATTCCCAAGTCATATATTTTTCGAAAAATGAAACTCTGTCATTTTGTGTTTTGGTAAAAGTGGGAAAGTTGTCTGCCTCTACATCAAAGAAAACTAACGATAGGGACTATTTGAAAAACCCATACCTATAGTGATTGTAGCCTCTCAGAATTTCTTAAATTTCTCAATTTTTGTCTGAAAATATTCAAACTTTCACCAGTATGCTTCTCTGATTATCCCGCTTCTTCTAGAGTACTTTGCTATCAAGACAGGATTTCTCTTTAATTGAGAGTCTAAGCTTGGTTATCCATACTTACCGTGACATGATCCGGTGTGATGCCTGCAGGAGAGCGAAAAAGGTTGTAAGCGAAAGCGTTCTCCTTTTCCGTGTGGATGGATACTAAATCAGCCCGTCCATTCAAGGAATAGTGATCCCTGCACTGATCCCGAGCCTCTCCCCAAGTGACCCGCTCCCCGAAGTAACGGTAGCAGCTCCCGTTAAATGGAAGCCAGAATTGGGGGCACGGATGACACACATTGGCATCCAAGCCGTAAACTGTCACGGCTAGAACGGCCATTGATGCGAGCAGAAGCTTCATGTTGATTACTGCAGAGTCAAAAAAGAAGAGGGAGAAGAAAATAAACTATTACAGATTAACGACTTCAATTCACACCAAAGAATTACTTATCATGTATTTTCCAATCTGGCGTACGATAAGTGCAGTAATGATATGTTTCGCCCCCCCCCCCCCCACAAAAAGTGTAAATTATTTTTGTACCATCTCCTCGCCAGGAATTGTGGGCCCAGAACTCAAAGCACCTAGCATTGTGATAGCCAATCCTTAAATGTAATGTCTGCAAACTCATACTGAAAAGGAGAAAGGGTTTCCGTTTTACTTTACCCCCCCCCCCCAAAAAAAAGTGTTAAGTCATACCATGAAAATCAACCAGCCCTTTAAACACAATAATATCATTTTCGTAATCACGCTGACTTAGCCTTTTGTTGTTTGATACTTTTGCTACTTGATTATGTTTCCAGTCATACCATGAGAATTCTTATGCACTCGTTACCATTATACTTGTTGCAGTACGTTTTTAACAACTTTACTCGTACTCCCTATATCTCTTATATTCTTTTCATTAATTCTTCTATTCTTCTTTTTGTTCTTATATATTTACATTGCATTGAGTGTATCTAGCCTATCAATAGAAGTTGTATGCTTTTAGAAAGTACGCCGTTTTCCCTGTAATTATTTGTTTTCTATGTTAAATTGCTTGATTGAAGAGAAACACATGTATACACACGAGGGAAAAGAGAGAGAGCGAAAAAAGAGGGAAAAAAGCAGAGGTGGAAGAGAAAAAGGGGATGTACATATTTAGCTTTAAAGCCTCAGTTTATATTGAAGAAAATAGAGGTAAAATACACTGCTTCATTCCGCTTTACCTGCATCCTAACATTATAACCTTCGTTTCTCCTCCTGATTGCCTCTAACACTTCTTTTCACAAACTTAGAAATGCACCCCAAACTACATAGTCTACCCACATACACTCGTTTCTTCTATTTTACATTTTTATCTCACTTCCGTGTTTAAAATCCCAAATTGCTCATACTACATCAAAGCGATACACAATACAATCTCACCCAATCTAGACGTCAGGTGCTATTCAAATCTATGTAATTTCCAAAAGAACGTTGATAATGTAGAGACTCCTTCGATAATGAAAACTTTGTCGGAGGAAGATTATATCATTAATATCTAATTTGAGCTTCAGACAAGTCAAGATGGCGCAGAGTCGCATATCGTCCAACGTTAACTACTGCGCATTTTGCAGTGATATGCATGCACAGCAGGCGCAGATTCAAGCGGGGGCATAGCCGTCCCGTACCCCCTTGTTTTGGCGGTTAAAAAAAGAGAAAGAAAGGAAAAGAAAGAAGATGGGTAAAACAAAATTCATGCCCCCTAGGAGGTGGGTGCAGGGAGGGGGGAAACTTTGAATGAAGCGCGGAAGCTTTGAAAGAAGACGATTCGTTGAACCTTTCTCGACTCATAATCCTTGTCTGATTTCAGTCCGCCCCTCCTTCGCGAAGCGCGGGAAGTTTTGACGTATTCTTAGACAAAGAAGACGATTCGATGTACCATTCTCGACTCTTAATCCTTATCTAATTCAGTTATTTCCCTTCCGAGCAAAGCGCGGAGATTTTGAAGTTTCATTAAATTATTAGAGAAAGAAGACGACTCAAAGTACCGTTCTCGACTCTTAATCCTTGTCTGAACCCCCCCCCCCTTTCGCGAGGATAGGAGTTATGTATGCTGAAGAAGACTATTGGTTGTACCTTTCTCGACTCGAATCTTTCTTTGAATTCAGTTCCCTCCCCCTCCTCCTGCGTGAAGCTTTGACGTATTATTAGACAAAGAAGACAATTCGTTGTACCTTTCCCGACTCTTAATCCTTATCTGTATTCAGTTTCCCCCTTTCCGCGCAAAGCGCGGAAGCTTTGACGTTTCATTAAATTATAAGGGAGAAAGAAGACGATTCGTTGTACTGTTCTCGAATTCTTTTCTCTTTTTCTTCCTATACGTCCTTTTACTTCTTTCCATCTCTTTCTCTCTTTCTTTCTTTTTTTTGGCCGCGGTTTTTTTTTTTTTTTTTTTGGGGGGGGGCGACCCAAGACTCGTTTAACTATAAGAACCATTCTATCCGTTTTACAGGAGAACATGAATGAAATTCAATTTGTAGTCCAGCTCCACACTTTCTCATTTTAAAACTCTATTTAAACGTTACATTTTTAAACAATGTCTTCCTTGATTGAGTAGACCCTTTCTAATCTTTCTGAATCTCACCTCTTCCCTTTTTTCTATTTCTCATTTTGAACTTTTGAACTTTTTTGCTCCTGTATGTTTGCGTGTGATTGTTGGTGTGTATATACATGGATGATACCTAGCTAGTAGTTAATGGACAGTCCTGTTTTCTCTTTCTTCTTCTGAATGTACGTATATATTTTAAGTTTTATTTACTTCGCTATTTAATTTAATATTGTGTTTACCATGATGTACAAGTACAAGTTCCTTTCAATAGACCCCGGCCTATCATTTATTCGGTATTTATGATTTTTATTGTTTGTTATGATGCCAAATAAAACTGAATTATAATAACATTTAATTTAGAGGAATACGCCCGATATTAATTTGTTCTGACTACGTAGACTTTATCGCGGGTGATTTCTCTCTACCCCCCCCCCCCCACCTCACTCTCTCTCTCTTTTTCTCCCTCTCTCTCCCTCTCAGTCTCTCCTTATCCCTCTCCCCTCTCTCCCCATTCTCTCTCCTCTCTTTCTCTCTCTCTCATTCTCTCTCTCCCTCCTCCTCCCCTTCTCAATCTCTCTCTTTCTCTCTTGTTTTATATTTACATTTATTGATAGTTCTCTAGGATTTGTGTTAAGTCTGTTGATCCGTAGATCATCTGAGGTGGCATCTGCTTCCGGATGAGGAAAGAAAAGATCATGAGAGTTGAAAATAACAGGAAATAACACACATCGCATAGCACTACTTTGTGAAAATATGTTCATATAGCTCCGTTCAGTCTCATTTGGAACGCCCCCTATCGGCAGAGTGCAACTGCCTAACATAAACGTTAGCCTATGGATTTTTACACAAAAAAAATCGTTAAAAATTCATTATTTTTTTTGTTTAAACGAAAAGCACATCCATCCCGACGTACGTTATCACTAGCTCTTTCATTGGAACCCTCATGTCCCATTGACTTTTGAAAGTTCACCCACCGTAATTTGATCAAAATAGGTTGCAAGCTCGCCATTGCCTATATAACATATGTACAACAAGTCGAACTTTGGAGTCAATTTACCACGCGATTGTAAGGTTATAAGTCAAGCACACGAAGGATAAGAAGCATGAATTATCATAGATCAGTTCTGATTTGTTCATTATGTCCATTTTATCCACCCCCACCGTAATTTGTCCATTTAGTATAGGCAAGCATTTTGCCGAGGTGAGCAAAACATGAATATTCATGAAAAACATGGACTATTCGATTATTAATAGAGGGAGGCAATTGTGCACCACATCAAACTCCCCTACTTTCAGTCAAGTATTTCATTGAATTATGTAGTTTGGTAGGTTTATTTTACTAACTGTTTAATTATCAGATATCACTGATAGTTTAAAGATATGGAAAAGATTACTGTATTTTATATTAAGCAAAGCAATCTCACATACAAAATCACTATCAAGTGTCGTCTGATCCGCCGATTTCCGTCTGCTATATACGCGAACTAGCATACGTTTGTTCTGGCGAAAATGAGACAACCGGAGCAATATGGAAAGTCTCCAAACATGATCTCGAATACAAAGTATACTATCTTTGCTTCAGGCCTACTTTTACTAGGCAGATGTCCTGATAGTTTGCAGACACAAAGCCTAGCAAGTCGCTGTGAGTAACAGTGTATGCATAGTGAAACTAGACTGAGGGCATACTACAGAGGCTCTACTTAGCTGATTTGATGTAGCCAGAGGCTGGCAGAGCTAGACTCTTATCTATGCTTTATGATTTGTGATAAGTGTCAAGTCGGAGTCTGTTCAAGTAGACAGCTTTCCTTGAGTAGATTCTTTGACCATGACGATAGTTAGAAGTGCATTAATATCCGTTTTAGTAGGCCTATAAAAACCGAAATCCCTCTGGTCCCAGTTTTATTTTAATATACATATCGTTAGGAATTACGATATATTAGTGTTTCTAAGCGATTTACCTTCTTTTTTTTTTCCTGTGCAAAATGACTGTGGCTCGTAGTCTTGTAGTAACAAAGATAACAGCTTTGGTCTCACAGAGTTCTATATTCCTCCTTCTTCTCGTGGGCCTGCTAGCCAGAGGGAAAGGTTCGTTGTTTTCAAGGTGCCACACAGGCCATCCGCCCTCTAAGATCAAGGTGATATTTCAGTGTGTGTTTGTTTATTTTGTTTTGTTTCGTTAACTTTTGTTTGGGTTTGTTCTGTTTTCGCTTGACCTGGAATTTGTGGACGTCATTTGTGCTAATCAGGTCATTACCGAATACCCTCAGCTCCATTAAGAACCCAAGAAATAATTCCCACTGGGCCCTACACTTCCCCTCCTCCTGTCACTGGTAAGATGCTATTTACTACGGAATATGAACGATTTAAACCCTTTCTATTTCACGTAAGAATGTACTTACTTGTTTCGTTACACAATTCTTTTTTTAAATTAATTCCTTGTTGCTTTGAAGACCGTCAATACTACTGGGCCAGAAGGGACTAGACCACACACCGAGGTCACTGACAGGTTGCTATCTCATTAGCTCAGCTCTCAACTAACATAAGACAAAGAGGATCATGGGGGACCAACAGGCACCGATTGGGGAAGTTTTCTATATAGAGGGAGCAAGTAGCTACAAGAAGGACAGTGGGGCTTAAACAAAAATCATCAGGAGGTTTGTGGAGCCAGGATATTGCATGATTTCCTCTTATATTATGACTTAGGAGGTCATAACCTATTCTGTAGCGAATCTGTGTTTATTTTTTTTTTAAATCTATTATATTCCGCTTATGGGAATGAAAAAATAAACATTACGATAGTTCACCGGAAACTTTGGGTGCAAAATAAAGTGAATCCCTCAATGTGATCTTACTGAGCGTTTAAATTAATTTAAAATGAACAAAAGAGAAAGGAAAGGAAAAAAGAAAGGACAAATTATGAAAATAGGCAAGAAAGATAGAAAAAGAAAATGAAAACTGTTATATTATTAGAAAGGACAAAAGAAATAAACAAGGAAAGAATTGAAATTAAAAGAAGAACAAAAATTAACTTAATAATAAAGAAAGAGAGAAAAAAATAGGGATTCGCTTTTTTCACGTGCCCCAAAAATACCCAGAAGGGAAAAATGATCCATTTTCTTCCTAATAAGTGCCTCTTTCTCTTTATACCCTTTCCCCCAGTCCCTTTTCACCTCTCAGTGATAAGTGTCCCTATCCAAATCTGAAGGTGCCTTTGTACTTTGACAAGTGTCCCTTTTCCTTTGTAGTAAGGTGCCCGTTTTCATCTCTGATGATAGCCCATGTTTTGGTATGATAAGTGCCCATTTCCTTTCAAATAAGTGATTTTTGCCTTCTGAATAGTGCCCCTTTTTTCTTTATAATAATTGCCCCTTTACCTTCCTAAGAGTACCCCATTTTAATATACCCATACAGGTTTAAAGACGAGATTTTGTTGCCCTTCAAATTATCTCCCAAATTGAGTTGTAAAATCAATTTACGACAAAAAAAAAAGCACGAGTGAAACCACCGGATAAATCAGATCATTCAGCAGTGCATGTTTCTCTTTTTTTAAAGCCTGTAGCGTAATGGTACATGTAGATATTTGTCACCTCATGCTTTGCCTACACTACCATGTGCATCAAGTAGGGTTAGTGTTAGGGTTGTGGCTATTTTTAGAAACATGCCTCCACTACTAATCAAATCATGCCTACCGAAATAATTACCGTCACATATAAGACAAGAATCTGGCCAATTTAATATTGAATAATCTCTACCACTCCGATCTCCTCGTACTAGCTGCAAGCAGAAGATGACGTGACGCGGGCGTACGAATTCGTTGATGTTGAAGGAAGTGTAGATAATGTCACAGAGATAAAATATAAAATCTGGCTAGTTCCTGGACTAATGCCATATTAACCCATTATCTGGGGCAATTGATAAACGCGAGCAAAAGTTTAGTTTTAACGTTTTAAACGCCTATTTTTTTTTTAAATGAGGAATTTCCCTTGCTTCTTTT